CCACTGTACTCCAGCCTGGACAACAGAGCAAGACTCCATCTCAAAAAACAAACAAACAAACAAAAAAATCCCAGTAAGGTGGCATGATCCGCTAAAAATATTTGAGACTAAGCAAAGACTGATGCTGAATTTTGTGTCAGAATGAAACAAATTAACACTCAATTCTACCTCTTCCTTTCTAGAGTAGGAGCCAGCAAACCATGGTCATGGGTCAAATCTGCCCCACCACCTATTTCTATTTCTGTGTGGCCCATGAGCTAAGAATGGTTTATGAACTTTAATTAGTCGAAAAAACTCCAAATAAGGGTATTTCATAACACATGAAAAGTAAATAAAATTCAAATTTGAGTTCATAAATAAAGTTTTATTGGAACACAGCCACATTCACCCAATCATGTATTACAAATGGCTGCTTTTGCCTACAATGGCAGAATTGAGTAGCTATGACAGATTTTATGTGGTTCTCTCGTTGCTCTACATTGTGATATGGGAAACTACAAATCACTGTGACACAGTCATAATTCAACAGCATTTTGACTGCCATGTATATTGCTATTCTGTGACTTTTTTATTAGTAGTGTACACCCAACCTTGTCAAACAAGAAAAGTAGATTTCAAATGTTGCCATTTTAAGGTTCCATAGAGTGGATTATTTGTTAGCAATTAGATAGCAAAGCATGATGCTTATTATGCAGTGACACTATAGCTATGCTAAAGGAAAACAGCATAAATAAGCATTACCAGGTTAGGCGTTCATCACAATATTCCCAACTTGCAGGAAAGCAACAGTCAGAAAAATTAGAAAATTTACAATTTACATCATAGTACAATTTACATCACATTTACAATTTACATCACAGCAGAATTTCTTTACAAAAATAAAAAATGAAAATGAAGCTATAACCAAAGAAGTTTCCGATTGTTTATATCTGCTAGCCAAGCAAGGAAAGCTACTTATCAATAGTGAATTAATTCACTATTGATCATAGCAGTTGAGGAAGTATGTCCTGAGAAAATAAACTTGTTTAAAGGTCACTTTTTCAGCACGAACAATTTCGCAAAAAGTTGACAGCATTGGAGGCAACGTCAACAGCTGATTAAAAAATAAGGTAAATGATTGAGTCATTTTCCTTGTTTTTTGATGAGCTGACATATATCACCCATACTGCTCTGTGTTACTATTTATTGAGGGCATCATTACCAAGTTTGAAGTGACTGAAGAGTTGGCCCCTATGAATAGTCTGCATGAAGCTACTACAGGTGAGAATATTTTCAAATAAATTGCTAAAACACTAATTTAGTACAACTTCAAGTGAACTCTGCTATGACTGATGGGGTGATGTGTGGAACAGAAAAAAAAAAAAA